TGGTTCTCACAATGGCCCAAAGATGGTCATCAAATAAGAATACTAAAAGCTAAGCAATCTCAGAAAAAACACATTTGATTGAATGAATATGTATTAAGGCCCAGTAGATGTCAGGCCATGTGCTAAGCATGAATCATACAGTGATTTTTGGATCGGAGATCTGCCCTTGAAGAGCTCATATTCAGAGAGAGGGGACATGCAAACAACGGAAGTTGATAAAATGTAATTGACAACATAGAAGAATGCAAGGTCTGTAATGAAAGGCAAAAGGAGGGTCTCCAGCTCCTAAAGGGCCAGGAAAGCCTCTTGAAGAAGATGATGTGGGGTTAAGTTTGAAGAAATGATGTTGTGAGTCAATAAGAGGAGTGACAGGAGTCGTCTCCACAGTAGGAAAAACATCAAGTTCAAAGGAAGGGAAACAAGTCTCATTTGATTTGTTTTGCCTGTTCTTTACATTGGGCTGAGGTATAATCACAGACCTTGTGTATTCTCAGAGCCTACCATGTTGCCTGGTGGACAGTAGGTGTTCAATAAATATTGAACAAATGACATATTCCATGTTGGGATGCACGTTTCCATCTTATCTTAGGAATTTTAGCACCAGAGAACTCTCAGCTAAGAAATAAATATCAACAAAGGAAAGGGTTCAAGGTCATTTGTTCCCGGTCCATGAACCATGATCAGACTCTGGGCAGGGACCCACTCCCATGCAGCCAGGCCTGGTTGGTCAGTGTCCAGGCCAAGGCAGTTGATGGGCCCTGGACGCAGTAGATAAAAGTGCAGACACAATGCTGGAAACTGAAGGGTTAACAAAAACAGATCTTGAACTAGCTCGCTTCTGTCACTGGGAATGCCGGATCAAGGGCCCCAATCTGTGCTCTTCCTATCTCAGTCTTCCAAGCTGAGCCTCTTTGCCTCCTGGAAACTCAGGCAGGTCCCTTCCAGGATTGTGTTTAAAGAGAAATGCAAATCACCTGGAGGCTGCTCCATGCTTGGAAGAAGTACAAATCGATTCTGTTTTCGTTAAAGTGATTTTTGGACACTGTCAAAAGCTCTCTCATCTCAGAGCACGGGGTGACAGATAGGCTGCCGATCTCAATTATATAACTGAGCCAACGAGGGCAGTGAGTCATCTTATCAGGAGTGGACACGGCTCTGCACCTCTCCCATGCCCAATTTCCCTTCCCTAAGATATCCAAGAGCAGCCCCATCCCATCCAGGCCTGGAGCTGACCCTCTGCAGCCTGTATGGCCACTTGCTCCTAGGGCTTTCCTCCTGCATGCTCCCCTCACACCTATGTCCCCACTCTAGCAGTCCAGGCCAAGTATGATGCCAAGCAAAATTAAGAAGGAAAATCGACTCTGAAAAAGTGTATGTCATATAATACATTCCCAAACTAGTTATGTTGGTCTTATTTAATACTGGGAGTACTGTTATCCCTTCCCTCTGTTAGCTGAGATAATTGGGGATTTGTTTTATTTATAGCATCAATTACGAGTACAGAAATTAATCCTTAAGTGGTGCATTTGGGAACTCAACTGTCAAGGGAGCAACAGGGAAACCTAGGCAGAGATCAGGGGTCTTCCCCATCAGCACAGAAAGCTGCAAAAGAAAGTCATCCCCAAGCCCAGGTGGCAGTTTGGGCTCTTACTGTTTTTGCATACTTAAGGTATTTTGAGTTATTAAATAAACAGTGATAATTGGCTCAAAGAGATCCCTCCCTGGAGGACACCTAGTAACTCACTTGTGAGGTGCTGGGAAAGCAGGCAGAGATGGCAACCAAAGCCAAGAACGGGATTCCTTCACTCAGAACAACGGCCCTTGGAATGTCAGCCAGCCCTGCTCTGCAAAGGAGCTGAAGACAGCTTCTTCAGTCTAGACCAGAAATAAAATCTTGGAGAAGGAGAAGAGTGAAGGTCAGGACACAGGAAGAGGTAGGTAGCTGCTGGGAGCTATTGGAAGCAATCAGACCGTGGCAGAGTATTGGTCCTTGGTATTCCTCAGCCACTTGGGGCTCAAATGCCAATGCAGAATAAGAAAAAGATGGGCTTTCTGCAGTGGCTGAACAAGGCTACAACTAACTAAGGAGTGTGGTCAGAAGGTGGGCCAGCAGAGAGGAAAGGGTTTCCATGGTCAAGTCAGCGAGGCCTCCAGTCAGGACCAGAAAATGCCTGTAGTCCTACTGAGCATCTCAGTGGACAGATCAGTCACTAGTAATGACTGCTTGCCTCTCTCCTGGGGAACAAGGGCTAGAGCAGAGCACACAGACTGAAGGAGCTGTAGGTTCTGCGGGCTCAAATCTTTGATCTACCCTCAAGAGAGAACAGATACGTTCAAAAGGGACTGAGAAGAATATCAGGCCTAGCAAATGGAGAAGGTGCCCCATTTACTCTGACCCATCCATTAAAAAGGATTTTACCAAGCACCTGCTACGTATAGTCAAGCAAACAAGCCTGGTAATGGTGCCAATTGCCAGCTCAGGTCAAAATCAAAGTAGCCTGATCTAGCATTGAGGTATATCAGCCGGGGGGTGGGGGGGTGGGGGGTGGCTGCTTTCTCGTAACTTAGCTGAGCTTAAGGAAGACACCACTAAAGGCTTCCCTTCTTGCCCACTTGGTTCTCCTCCCAGAAACTAGACATTTTAATGCTTGTGGACGGAAAAAGAAATTTGCTCATTCTCAGGCATGGGGTGAGAAAGTCCACAGGGCCTACAGTCAGGGGGAAGAATGACTCCCCCAGTGCAGACATCCCTTTCTTCTTTATGCCATCTCTGGCAGAGTCCCCCCACCCCGTCCACCTCAAGAAGGTAAATATGAGGCTGACTGTTCACCCCCTGATGCTAGACTTGCTCCTCAATCTACAGGGCAAATGCCAAAGGACATAAGCAATTTCCCCAGTAGCAGTAAAATACTAGATTTTGCTATGAAAGAAACCATTAATTTCTAAGGCACTATTTTAAACAACCTAGAAGAAAATATTTAATGTATAAGGATCGTGGCTGGGATCAGGATAGGGTGCTTGGCCACGGGTGAGGTTCCCTTCAAGAAAACGAAGGCATGGACAGGGTCAGGCTGGAAAGGATGAAGATGCTCTGTGTGCCTAGTGCAGGGTCTGACATGTAGAAATTGTCAGACTGAAGTCTTCTTGGCTAGCAATGAGTAGAAGAGAATACCATACCCTTAGGCCATGTAAAGAACGTAGAACCCTAAAGGTCTGGTAAATGGGACTGCTGTTGGGGTAAATATAGGGCAGATTGATGAGTGTCAGAGTTAAAGATGCTTCTTTCTTCTAACAACAGGCAGTTCTTTGCCCATTTTATCCCTAAATATCCCTTGATGCCCAAAAGCTCACATGTGCCACGTGAGCCAAGGGAGACAAAGTCAAATAAGCAAATATTCTTACCCATTCTGGGTGAGCATCTGTTTGAAGAAGTGTGTGTGTGTACACATGTGCTGGAGTGGGGAAATGGGGAGGATGGCTTTTGTCAGACAGAGGTAAATTGAGTGCCCCTATCAAATGTGGCCTCCACAAATGGAGGTGACACCCCTTATCTCTCCTTTGCTACTCCCTTCCCCTCCTTTATGGAAGAATGACAAATGTAATCATTTTTAAAGGTCCCCTCACCTGCTCAGTCATTCCCAATAAGCATAGAAAGCATTTTGGAAAAAACAGACACCACCACCATGAAAAAAATCAAATCACCAGGATGCCCCTAACCAATTGTCAAAGACCAAATAAAAAGGTTCATGAATTCTCCATCAGCAATATAACGCTCCCTGGCCTAAGCAAATAGAGATCCAGCATATGAATTGTGGAGAGATTTTTGCATTAGTCTCAACAGCTTCCAACAGCTGAAGCAGAAACCCCTATGAAATCTACGTCTCCATAAAGCTGCCTTTATTGGCTCTAATTCTGTTAGGGTAAAGACTGCAATCTCCTCCTTAAACCCCCTTATTCTGATGCAAAGCTTCACGTCCCAGCACCATAAATACATTTCTGTGACCTCAATGGAGAGGAGACTTCATAGAGCTGGAAAAGACAGAGTTAAGCAAGACCTCCCCAGGTACCTATCCCTTCCTCTGATGATACTGCTGCTTCCACCTGACCACATGATCCATCCAGACCATCTCACTGCCACCCAGGTAGTCCGAGTGAGACCAGCACTCCCTGAGAAGTGCTTTCTCAAGACAACTCCTCCTCTAATGAAAGAAAAGAACAGGTGCCTTACTTTGCAGAAAATCCAAATTCGGGGTCACTTAGAGAAATATTTTCAGAGCCATTGGACCCTTGAGAAAATATGGCAGCAGAGAAGAAAAGGAAAGCAAAATGAAAATAGCCTGCAAATATACTACAAAGAAAGGGAAAGGAAAAAATATGAGCAAAGGAAAAAAAATGGAAACAAAGTCTATAAATGGGGGGGGTGAAGAAAGAGCAGGGAATGGCGAAAAAACAAGAACCAAGATACATCATGTAAAGGTACAAGATCCCAACGATGAATGTAACTGTATTTTATACCTAAAATGCACCAATAAACTTAATGGGAAAAAAAAATGCAGGAAGGATCCTGAAAGGCATTCTTGGTAACTTCTGGTGAAGAAAATCTGTATCTTCATATAACATTCACTGAACTTCTCAAAGTACTCTTCCCCCTCACCCAATGCCCTGTCTCCCTTCCCATCACAGGCCTTATAAGCACAGGTATAAGAATGTAACCATCACACCCCACACATACACGTCAAACAAACATACAACACTTGGCAGAAAAAAGAAATGGTGACTTAATTTGTCACATTTATAAAACACGTCTCATCTCTAAAATAATTCAGAAAAAGTTACAACCCCAAACATATCACATAAGGCTTCCTCCTTCTGATGCTGCCACTTCCCTGGCTCCCAGGACTTGGGTGAGGGACTCCTTGCTCCTCTCCCCAATCCTGATACCATACAAATCTTCAGTCCACCCAACCTCCACCCTGTTGGGTCCACTAACACTGACTTACCCCAGTGTGGTCATGGTGACAATGGTGTACCAGAAAGAGGCTGGGATGCTTGTGAACTTGCTGGCAGAGGAGCCCTTCTCTGCATAAAACATCACAGTGGCAAAGATGATGATGGCCATGGTGAGGGAGAAGAGGAGAAAGCCCAATTCAGAGGCACAGCTCTTCAGGGTATAGCCCAGGATCCGCAGGCCCTGGGAATGGCGGGAAAACTTGAAGATCCTGAAGACTCGGAAGACCCGGAGTGTGACAAAGGCCCCAGACACATCTTCATTGTTGGTCATGACCAGGCCGATGTAATAGGGCATGATGGCCACCACGTCAATGATGCTCATCACACTGCGGATGAAGCGGTAGCGGCTGGGCGCTGCGAAGAGCCGGAGGAGGTATTCCACCGTGAAGATCATGACACAGGCTGTGTCCAGGCAAAAGAAGGCCACTGAGTAGCGCTCCCCACAGGGCAGCTCCTTGCTTCCTGGCACCGTGCCACACGGCACCGTCTCCACCACATTGGTGATGACTGAGACAGCAATGAAGAAGCCAGTCACATAGTAGAAGACCAGGGCCAGCGTGCTGGTGTGGGGGTTCTCGAAGGCCCGCCACATGGTCTGGCGGAAGCTGAGCGAGGGCATGGACTCCTGGTTGTTTTCTGAGTCGTTGTCATCCATGAGGCGCTCGGCATTCTCCCGCTTGCGGTCTTTGTACTCCTCGTAGCAGCAGTCCCCGATGATCTCGGGCAGGATGCCATAGAAGGCCAGCTCGTCATCATAGGCCGAGATGCACTCATAGCGTGGGTAGTGCAGCTTTCCTGTGCGGTAGAAGTTGAGCACGCAGCGGAACACTTCTGGGTCCCGATCAAAGAAGTACTCCTTGGTGTCCTCATTGAAGAAGAACTCCTTCTCTGTGCTGCCCAGCAGTGTGTCTGGGTAGCGCTCCAGCGTGGTCCTCCAAGTCTGAAACCGCCGCCCACTCACATTGAGGATGATCAGCTCATCCTGCCGCTTGTTCTTGTCGGCGGGGGCGAGAGGCATGGGGCAGTTGGCCACTGGCATCCATCCAATGGCCGCAGCCCGGGCAAAAGGCAGCCAGGCTGCAACTCCGGCCGCCATGGTGACTCCAGCTCTTGGGCCGGCGCCTGCTTGGATACTTTATACACCAGCTTGGAGTTAGTTCAGCAACCCCTGGGAGACAGGAGAAAGCAGAGAAAGGGCTGAAGAAATGGGAGGAAGGGGAAGGTCACTGGTGAGTGAAACAACACATTTCCAAGGCAAATTTATAAAAATGAAACCACCACAGATAGAAAACTTGATTCTTTTCTGTCCTCCCCAAATAGAGCACCTAGCAGGGAAGTAGGGCAGAGGGGCAGGATCACCAGATGATGCTGACTACCTGACAAATTGTCAAGTTCCATGAGGGCTTAGGAGAATTTGGAGGGAAAGCCTCTTTAGCAGGAAGATGTGGGAAGACTCGGGTAATAATCAACTCTGAAAGGTTATGGCGTTATTATGAATTTAAATTGGGAGAGGGTAAATGAGTTCTCATTAAATGAATTTAAAAGTGGGATAAACATGCTAATTTTTATTTCACTTTTCATCCACTAGGGTAATCAGGAATGGGGTGGAGATGAGGGAGATCAGGTAAACATATCCTTTCTACTCCTCCCTGGTGAGAAAGAGACTAAGATTGCCCATGTCTAGAAAATTCTCTGCATGGTAGATGACAGCATAGGAAGCTCTGTCCCCAACCCCACAGAGAGCACTGCTTTTGGGAGAGTGCTTACTCTCTGGGGCCCTTGGTCTTGCTCCTTGACCTAACAACCTATGTCCAAGTGCCTCCCGTAGAGCCATGTCATGATGGAAAGACATGGGGAAGGTTAGGAGGTTGAGCAGGGTCTCTCTTCTGTCCTATGAAAGAATTCTTGGATTCTTGGTCTACCTGACTTAGAATGCACTGCCTCTCTCCCTTCCTGGAGGAAGCTGATCCACGATTGCTGCCATCCCTAGATTTCTTTACCTCCCGACTCCATCTGCCCAGCATCCTTAGCTCCCTCTGGTTATATAACAATACTCTTTCCCATGGCAGCCTCTCACCTGATCCATATTCTACCCCTGGAGGTTTCCCCAGAGGTGGGCCACCTTGTCCCTGCACCCATAGCTCTCCAAACCACATTTCTCCATCACCCCTAAGAAGGGAACAATGGCATGGAGAATTACATTTGGCTTTAGGAAACAGATTTACCTCCCCAAATCTGGCTTTTTAAAGATGATAGTGAAATGACTCTGCAATCCCCAAATGTATACCATCTGTAGGAAGACATGTGGTGACACAGAAACACACGTAACAGCAACGGGAAATTGTTCAGGGCTGGCACGCTCATCTCCACCAATCCTAGACTGATTACACAGAACAAATCCTAACTCAGAATTATTTAGATCCTCTACAATTCACTTGATTTGACTGTATTTAAATAAATGAGGCAGAGGTAAGTCTTGAAATTTCTTTCTGTTCCACAAAGACTTGTAATAAGATCTGATCTTCATCTCTCCTTGTAATCCTGCTTCCCCTCCGACTCCCAGATCTTCTAGATTTCTCTTGCTTCTGAAATGCCACTAGACTTTTGCACCTGGATGCCTCTGAAACTGGAGGTCTAAATTACCTCTTTATTCACAACCTCAGACCTATCACCCTGACTGTCTTTCTTATAACTCCACCCCAAGAGATGTTGAATAATGAGACAACAGCTCTTACTGCCTTCATAAAGGCCCAGATTTTCTCAGGTCTCCTTCCCAACAACATTCTTGTCTCTCACTGCCCACCATTTCTCCGATTTCCCTGAAATTTATTCTACTCAAAGTAGTCTCTCTAAAGCAAGGTTCAGATTGTGTTTTGCCCCCCCCCAAACCCATAGATTAAAATCCAAACTCCTTGGCCTGCATTCCACCATCTCCACAGTGAATCCTGGCTTAACACTCCAGCCATGCACATGGATCATTCTCACTTTGAGCAACAAAAGCAAGGGCTGGCTTATGAACAGACCCCAGGGGCGTCTGTCTCCGGGTCCTTCCTCCTGTCAGAAATACCCACTTTCACCCCACCTATCAGTTTCCTACCTGTTCATCACCCTCTCTGTGATGCCTCCTCCTTTCCCACTGTGAGCATCTCTCCTTCCTTTGGGCTGTAGCACTTTCCTGTCTAGCAACTGTCGCCCTCTGGCCAGGATTACAGATACTTTGGACTTGTCTTGCTAACAATAATTGACCACATCCTCTATGCAAGGTATTGTGCTAACAGTTTTACTGTGCTAACAGTCTCCATGGGAGACTTCCAATGGATTCCCTCCATCCCTGCACCGCAGGAAGTGTCTATCATTTCCCCTGCTTCATGGACAAGGAAAACTGACGCTCACAGATACATAGTGGTCTGACAAACCCCGAAGTGGCAGGACAGGGGTTCGACTCAGTTTGCTGAGCACTGACCTTGGCAGGGACAGCACCTCCTGCTTTCCTGGATCATCTCCAACCATCCCACCAAAAGCCCTGGGGGGCAGACACCATTTTAGCCCCTGTTTCTCAGATGAGGAATGACAGCTAAGGAGTTATAACAGTTGTCTAAAGGATATAGTGAGTAAGTTGAGAGATTTAAATCCAGACATTCTAGATGTGGAATCAAGTGTGTAGCCAGGCCATTCTCTGGCTCTCTCCATCCCATAGTAAGCTCCTTAAGGGCAAAGACCATGGCACCTCAGCTTTTCATTACAACACAGGAAACAGCACAGTGCAGCTGTTTAAACTAAGGGTTAGGTGTTTAAACTAAGAACCCTATTTTAGAGATGGCATTTGTATTCCATCGATTGTATTCCATGCCTTGCTAATAATAATATATTTCTAAACAGACAGTGACCTCTGAAGACAGAGCTGAATCAAAAGAACTCAAGAATCAAGACTCTGCTTCTGACTCACGATAGCCTCAGTCAAGTTTTCTCAAGGAACTGGTCTCTGCCTCAGTTTCCCCATCAACATGCTAAGGAAAATTTTCACAGGTCCCTTTGCTCACTAAAAAGGGGAGGCTGATTCAGATGCTGCAGAACACAACAGGAATGACAATGACATTTCCTGTAAGTGTCACCCCTCAGAATAGAAAAACAGCACAGACCTGATGAGCTCTTGATTACGGAACTGAGAAAACCAGAGGAAGAATGGGGGTCATTCATCCACAGCAGAGGGTAATCCACCTGCAGCTAATAGAAGATGTGGGAACACATCTTTCATTGCACACCTTTCTTTCAGAAATATACCCTTATAATGAGCTGTGCTTTCTTTGGACCAGACTTACAGTCCCTCAGCGCACACTTGGCTAGGTTTTCAAGGGGTAAAGGAGCTAGGAAGCAGCCCACAAGCTAGACACCAGTCACAGATGATTCTAACTTAGTTAACGTTTACTGAGTGCTAACAATACTCTGGGCACTGTCCTAGGCACTTTTACACATAACATGTAATTTAGTCCTACAAAAATCATGTGACATTTGTGCCCATAGGTTATAGGTAAGGAAACTGAGAATTAGAAAATTTCCTTTGAAGGAGCTAAGCTCCATGAATATAGGAGTTGACAATTTTCAAACAGATCATTGATCAGAACACTGCCAAATGGCTTTCTTGTTCAAGGTGTAGCCAAATACTGACCTACTCAACAGAAGAGAGTAGGATACAGAAAGTTCCCTCCCCATCTTCCCCAGGCAAAAGAGAACAAGGGCTCTGGAGGCCTTGAATTCCAGTTTCAATTCTTTCCTGAGCTTGCGAAAGCATGCCGCTGTTATCCTCTGGACCTCTGAGTACTCGTCTATACAAAAGAATTGGATAAGAAGGTAACAAGGGGACCTTTCAGTTTAAATGATCTCTGATTCTACTGGATCCAGGACAGGGAGGCCATAGCTCAGGTCTCACTGAGATGGCCTCATGACAGCTGCCCGTGCCAAGTGGGAAGTGGAGCATCTGGCCTTGCTGCTGTGGGGATGCAATTAGTTTGAGCCTCATCTCAGCAGAGGGAGTTCTGGGAATTCCTGATGAGGCTGGTGTCCAGAACAGGGGACCCAACCTGCATCACTTGGAACCCAAGGCAACCTGAGGCCTGGTCCACGCACAGAACCTTGGCTCACCCTCCTGAGTACAGGGGACCAGTCCTCAGACCTGGGAACCTGGACATCTGACTATGTGTCTATCCCAGAATGGGGTATGGAGATGTAGGAGCTGGAGGGTGTTCAAGTGGCAAAGAGCAAGCGACTGCCAGATCAGGAGGCACCTTGTAGAGCCTTGCTTGGCTAGACACAGGCCTTTGCACAAGGACAGGATGATGCCCCTTCCCTCCCATTCTCCAAGAGCCCCAAGGCCAAGTACCGGGCCCCTGCCAAGCCCCTCTTCTCCAAAGGCCATGAGTATTTTACAAAATGCTTCCAGATAGATAATGGAGAACTCAGGAGAAGGCAAAAATAATCCTTTCCCTGTCTATCACAAAGTCTCTGATCCTAAGGCTGAAACTTTATCCCAAACATTAATCCAGAACAATCATCCTAGAGAAAGCCAGGCAAATACCAGGCTGTCTCTAGAGACTCAAAACCTGACCACCTGGGTAAAAGGTACCAAACAAGGAACAATTACCCCACTGCTACATTCTGTGTGTATGTGTGCACACGTGTACATATATGTGCTGCACACACACTGGGTTTGGAAGGGGAGGACAAATGTCCTACCAGATACCGTGCCCAAGGCTATATGGGATATGGCCATACCAACTAAACCACTCTGTAGGGATGACCTGGCTCAAGCAGAGACTGTCCCTGTGGCTCACACTGCAGCGATCACCAGCACCTCCCCGAGCTGGCCTGGGTATGAATCCTGCAACAGGCACTACAGTGCGGCCCCATTTCCAGCCAATGGCACTGCACATGCCTCAAATGCCAAGATTTTACTAGGACGTGGACGCCTTACAAATGAAAACTCTGAAGCTATTTTTGTTTTTGGCAGAAGAGTTTGACAATGGGAAAGCTTTGGTGGGGGTGGGGGGAGTAGGGAAGAGACATCTGAAGCAGGTAAGTTCTGAAATAATAAAGAGGAAAAATCCTGGAAAAAAGAAACAAATATTCTCCCGCTTTAAAATGTCAGTTGCCCTGTTAAACAGCTTCGGTTTTGGAGGAAAAGGAACAGAAACGGGCAGAATGACCAGACAGCCTGTCCTCCTGGGATTTGACACCTACCTTGGGCACAAGCACAAGGCAGCAAAAACTGTTACATCTCCAGGGTTTGCCCTTTAGTGACCTCATAGATCAGTCTGTGGAAACTTACTTCCCATAATTTCATATCATAATCCGTATCCTAGAATGGGGATGGTCTGGGGGCAGGGGAAGATATCCATGACCCAGCGGTTTTCCTGTGTCCACGGTATTTAGGTAGGGGAGCATGAAACTGACAGGGTGAAACATACTGGAGATCCTTAGGGCACAGGCCTGGGGCACAGGAGATCATCTTCCCCGCAGTGCCGCTCCTAGGCTGGCCAGGGCACTTTCCCGAACTCTCTCCAGCCTCCTCAACAGCAAAAGAGAACAAGCTACTAATCTTTCTTCTTGGGGGAGGGAGGCTTGTGTACTTGCCTTTTGTTGCATTCAAGTAGTAACAAGGAAAAACAAGTCAATTCCTTTCCGTGTCCCAGCATATGTTTTGAATTGGTGCTAGCCCAGGAACCCTTTGCACAGATATTAAGCATCTCCCTTGAAGGAACAGTAAATACGCTGTAAATTTAACCAACACATACATTCAAAATACAGCAACGTATGCCTGATCTTACAAACAGATTACCGTGTGCGTAGGACCCCGAAAAAGTTCAGATACTCCCCTTAAGAAATACACGCTGCCTTCTCTTTGGTATAAGATTCCAGGTCTGGAACCTCAGCCTGTTGCTGACTTATCAGGATAAAAGCAGAACATCTTGGACCTGATTCGAATCACTACTAAGCAAGAGCGATAATTTAGTTAATTTTAGGTAACTTCTGTACAACCCCTTCCGAAGTCTCCCACCCCTAGTGTTAACACGTCCTAAGGCAAGTCTTAGGAACCTCTTCCCCCTGCCGCGACGGCCTGTGGCATCACTTTGAAACCTTCCCCGGTGCTCGCAGGGTGGAAGCTGCACCCAGAAGGACCAGATGGACAGCCCCCGGCCTGTGTCGGTACACGGGCACACCGCAGGCTCGCTGAGCTGAAGAACTTTGCAAAGCGCCCCAAACCGCTCCCAGCTTCCACTCTCAGCCATTTCTCTCCTTCTCCGCTCACAAAGAGCGGGCACGGAGCAAGCCTTCGCCACCTGCAGCCGGATCCCGGGGCACCCCCCAGGGAAGGCAGGCCAATGGAAAGAGGGCAGAGGTTCACACCCCCACCCCCAAACCTCACCGCGCATCCTGGCCCGGAGGTGGCTGCACAGCCGGCGGGAACCGACGCCCCCGGGCCGGCTGCCGGCACCCCCTCGGCACCGGCCCCACCCCCAATCCTTCCGGCGCCCCAACGCCCACCCACCCGGGCGCGGGAGTGGGAGGGTGCCGCGTGGGCAGCTGGAGCAACAGGCGTGGGAGCAGCGCTCCTCGCACTTGCTGGCTCCAGAAGCCTCGGTAGCGTCCCTCTTACCTTCGGCGAAGCAGCCCCAGGCCCCGCACCCCGCGTGCGCGCGACGAAGCTGCGGCCAGGGGCCGCCTAGGCGCCGAGCGCCCAGCAGCGCGGGGAAGCGCCCAGCAGCCGCCGCTCGCGCCGCTCCTCCTCGCCAGCGAAGTCTTGCTCGCTCCCTCCCTCGCTCAGTCGGTTCGTGCGTCCGTCCGTCCGTGGGGCCCTCCCTCCTCCTTCTCCACCTTCTCTTCCTCCTCCGCCGCCGCCGCCGCTCCAGCCCCAGCTCGGCAGCGAGTCCCCTCCCTGCTTCGCCTCTCCGCTCGCGGGCTCCCTCGCTCGCTTACTGCCCCCGCCGCTGCGGGCGCCGCGCGGAGCGGAGCCGGGCCGGCCACGGGCTGCCTCTCCCGAGGTCCCTCTCCCGAGGAGGCGGTGGGGGCGCGACGCAGGCGGGGCGGGGAGGGGAGCAGGGGGAGGTGGCGAGGCTGCGCCCTCGGCTCCCCGCAGATCCCCGCCGGCCGAGCGGCCCCAGGCCCGACCCGAGACCGCCGCCGAGCCGGCAGGCAGCCGAGGGCGAGAGGAAGAGGACCCGGAGCCTCGGCGCGGGAGGGTGCCCAGGGCGAGGGCGTGCGAGGGGGAGTGACTCGGCGAGCGAGGGTGTGTGTGTGTGTGTGTGCGCGCAGAGGGACGCGCGCGTGAGGGGGGTTGGGGGTGGAGAGACGAAGCTGAGCCCGGTGTGTCTCCCCGGCGAGTGGAGGAATCCTAGGGTGTGCCCGGAGGTAGTGGAGTGTGCCGCCGCGGGTGTGAGCGCGTGTGCCGGTGAGGGTGGGCACTGGGTGAGCTCGGCTTGGGGGTGGGGTGGGCCGGGAGTACGGCGTGAGCGTGAGTTGGGGGCGTGTGTTGCTGGAGACCCGGGAAGAGATAGCGGGGAAGGCTGGCGTGTGCACGCGTGAGGTGTGTGCGCCTAGGTGGGTGTCTCTTTCTCACTGTCCACGAGGCAGCGTCTAGCGCCTGGCCACCTGGTGAGGTGGCGCAGGTCACCGCGCAGGCTTCTTGTCTGGCCCCGGGCTGTCAGCTGCGTGCGCCCTGACTGGACAGGTTCCGGGGGGACTCACTACCCTTACCCCACGCAAGAGCTTCTCTCCTGCAGGAGCGCGAGGTCATAGCCAGAAGGTCGGGATTCGCTCTTATGTGCCGCCACGTGCACCCAGTACCCACACTCAAGAGTCGACTCAGGAGCGTGATTGGAGCCCATTCCTTTCCTCCAGGAGCTGGCCCAGCCCCTGGCCCCTCCCTGAAGCCCATAGAACCCTGCTGTTTGGTGCCTTAACCAAGAATGGGGAGCGGGAGGTCAGCGTGCTACGGAAGGGCCATTGCCACCCTAGGGTTGGCTCTGAGCGGACCGGTGGCCCTGGCTTTCTCTCCATTTCCTGCTCAGTGTGAGGAATCCCAAGATCTCAGCCTGGAGCTCAGGATGCTGGGCAGCTCCGTGCTTCAGCAGGGACCGGAACACTTGGCTCCAGCAATCACAGTTCTGAATATGGAGAGGTGTGTGCTGAGAGGTAGACCAAGGAAAATATGCGTAGTGCGGTGAGGGTGTATTTGCCAAGATACTTCTGGATCTGGCGCTGGAAAAAGACTTTGCTAAGTCCAGAATGGGGCTTCTGGCTTGTGACAACTACTAACCTTGTTCCAGATTAATGTGCATAAGTCAGAAGTCAGTTAGCATTGTGTTGTGAGCCCTTGTGGGCCCCTGGCAGCTTGGAGCCCCTCATTCATCAGTTTTCTCCTCTTTCCCCAATGCTAACTCAGTGCGTCAGTCTGAAAGGTGCACAACTGGCCTTTCCAGAGGTGGACGTGGGCCCCATTAGCGTTTACCAGGAATCCCAGAGCTGTATGGGATTTGCATACTGATTTGCATACAGTAATAATGATTAACAACACTGCCACTCCCTGGCAGACCTCGGAAGAATTCAGGGAAGGCCTTGGCACTGATCCCACCTCCCTCCTACCCGCTGGAGACAAGCTAGTTTTCTCACTATTGCCAACCTCTGCCCCTGGAAGAAGGTGCTTCAGTCTCTGGGGGGCAAGTCCCTTTGCTCTTCTACCCCATGTCCAGCCTGAGGGAGTTGAAACCCACTATTTTATTTCTGCCCAAATCTGAACTCCTATACTTTCTCACCATTGTTTTGCATCTTGAGGGTACTCAGAGCCTGAGTCTGCCACAAAGCTTGGGGGCTTCAGGAAACAGTTAGCTGGCAACATCATTCCTTCTCTGGAGTGATCAACTAATGGGCAGTTGTGGTGTCCTGGACCTTGTGATCCCTGTTTGAAGCTAGGACTTTGATTTAGACACCCTGCCCCACCCCTTCTTGCCACATTCCTCCCAGGTTTTTGTCTGGTGCAATAGCTGTGGACTCTTCTCTGTTTTGTCTGGAAGATCTACAGGAAAGTATGAGAGATTAGACCTCTAGTGTAGGCCACAGTGTGGACTTTGTTTATAGCCATTTCCACAGCCAGGTGACGTGGAAAATAGAACAGAGCCGGTGAGGGGGAAACGAGGTCTGTGGACTGGGACAGCTGGAAGAGTCACTGTCCAGCAGGATGCTATCTATGCAACACTCCCATTACTTCTTTCTAGCACCGCCTGTTCCCCGCCCCAGCCTGGCCGGGATTTTCACTTGCTTTTCCCCCATGACACGGCCGCTTTTCCTTTAACTCTCAGGTTCTATTTAAAAAGCTAATTTGGGAGCTTGTCGATGCTCCCAATTCAGACATTTTAAATAGGAACTGAAAGTCAGGAGCTGCCAGGGCACTAGATTTCCTCCTCTTGCTACGTAGGCACAGCTGAGGCATTTGTTCAGTCACTCGGCCAGCCCTGGCCTGTGTGTCTGTGTATGTGAACGCCTGCAAGCTCAGAGTGTATTTTCAGGATATCTTTTCTATTTAAAGATGGAGCTTCTATGGATGACTACTCTGTGTGTGCGTGTGTGTCCTTTCCGAGCTGTGCACACATGAGGAGTCTTCTTTAGTCCCATGGCTCTGGCCGCTATTTGCAGAGCTTGTCACCGTGTGGACTGTGAGGGTAAGAAGCAGCCATGCTCAAAGTTGCCTGCCTCTTTGCTGATGAGCCAGGCTGATGCATCTGTGCCACCGCTTCCCAGGGCTGCTCTGCTCAGGCTTGCTCTTTGAAGCTTGCCTCAGAATGTCCTTAAGGGTCACTCCCACCCTCACTTTTTGTGACTGTCCTACTTCAGCAATTTGCCCCAGGCTGGGGCTGGAAATTTGAAGGTGGAGCTATACTCTGAGAGTTGCAGGCTTTCTACTTTCAGGATGCTATGTACCTTGCAGGTAAGAAACTTAAGTTCAAACTGCCTGAATTGTTAGGCAGTTGCAAAGCCTGATATTGCCTCTGCTATGTGACCTCGGAGAAGCTACTTAATCTCTCTGTACCTGGATTTCCTCATCTCTAAAATGCAAATAAATAATACTGTCTACCTATTAGATTGTTGTGAAGATTAAATAAACTATCACAAATTAAGTATTTAGAGCAGTGCCTGAGGCATGGAAAGTACAATGTAATTGTTGGTGGTTGTTCAAGAGTGGTACAAGCAGGAGTCATGGAGAAATCTGGCTCAGGAGGAAGGTATAACTACCAGATTTTATACAAATACAAATGCACACGTGCACGTAACAACAAAAATGCCAGGCCACAGCCCACAGTGAATCAAGTTCACCTTGTCGGGTAGCTGGTTCCCTAGGCCCCAAAAGGGAAACTTCGGTGCCAAAATAGAGGGAGAGCCTTCGTGTTGGGGATGAGGCTGGCGCTTGTATGTCAGAAGTCATGGGCAAATTTAGGGGCCAATTTTAGGCAGAAGGAGTAAATTCCAGGATGTTCACTGTCCACATGGTCCCAGACTCTGATTTACCTTTCTGGAAGTGGCCACTCAGGAGGAGTGTCCTCTTGTTCTCCAAGTCACCCCCGAGGCTTGGGGTCCTCTCACTTTGACCCTGCTGCTGTCTCCCGTACCTTATCCCACCACTGTGCACATGAGCATTTACTCAGTTGCCTCACAGCCCACCTCACCTCTGTCCGTGTGCAGATACGGGCACTCAGGAGGACAGACAGGAGGAGCTACAAAGACTGAGGACAGGAAGGCTGGCCAAGGGACCCGAGGTAACATTGCTGGTCTTAGATTGTATCAGGCTTCACACATCAGCCTTAAGTGGAGGAGCTTCCCTATACTGGTTCTTTGCTAGATCTTTAGTAATCCTGCCTGGTAGATGCGAAACTGGTAGTTGGAAGCTGAAGGTAATCAATGGGACTTCCAGAGGGATGTAAGGCTGTGTAGGTAGCATGAAATTCTAAACTCTCCTTCTTGCCACCTCTCAGGATCCTGGCCCTTCCCTCTTCTGGAGGGTAGAGTGCTGTGTTAGCTACTTTTCTCTCTTTGCTGAGAAAAAATACCTGACACCAAAAGTTAAAGGGGGAAAGGTTTATTTGGCTTACAGTTCATAAAGATTTCAGTCCATAATCAGCTGGCTCCAAGGCAGGGTTGCAGAGGGGCAACAGTTCGTGGCAGTGGAAGACAGCAAAAGCAACAAAAGAGCCTTAACAGTGTCTTTCTGCCTCTTTTATCCCATCCAGAGTACCTGGATTTGAGCGGTGCCAATCCAATCACTCATGTGTAGCGGCTTAGTAATTACACACCCTTAATCTCAGCATCACACATTCCAGATTCAGCCACCTCTGAAAAGAAAGCCCCACCTCATCTATCTGCATGAAGCTTTGGGGGGACATCTAAACACAAACCACAACAAGTGACCTACTCAGATAAGAGTTAACTTGGTTGACCTCTCCCATGCCTGGACTCCACAGGTGTATGGGTGGGTAGGGCTTAGTGTGTCCAGGTTGTGGTTGTATCAGGAATCCCACAGCTTGGTGGGATTCATTTTCCAAGGTGAGGTAGGTGGTGGTAGTGTAAATGCTGAGGACTTTGTCCCCTCCAGAAGGCCAGAGGTTCACCTGCTGAGTATCACCCCAGGGTGTCCAGTTGGCCACACCAGGATAGTCTGTCTATTATAGTTTGAATCTAAAATAT